CTGCAGGACGCGAGACGATGCGTTCGGGGTGTATCGGTCTGCAGGACGCGAGACGATGCGTTCGGGGTGTATCGGTCTTCATGAAGTGAGACGATGCGTTCGGGGTGTATCGGTCTTGGGGACGTGAGACGATGCGTTCAGGGTGTATTGGTCAGCAGGACGCGAGATGATGCGTTCGGGTCAGCAGGGAATAATCGGGTTTATCAGAGCGAGGAACTGACTCCACTTTAACTCTCCGTGTCCCTCCCTCTGGGCTTTCTCTGGGAACACTGAACCTCACGGATCAATACCAGATGCTCCTCTGAAGCTGGGAGCATCTTGATCAAATCCTGTGTTAAATATTTGACATTTTTCACGTTTCTAAAAGTACACATGTCCTCTGACTCACGGATTCAGCCTCAGAGCGTACAGTTATGTGATGTAATGAGACTGCAGGTGATTACATCTGCATGGCTGGTTGTTACTCGTCTGCTAACGCGACAATTTCTGAGCTAAAACCAGCAAAATACTTTGACATTTTCTACTCAAAATACAGAATCAAGCAGCAGTAATACTCGACCCTGTCCAAAACTAACCTTCATGCAGATACAGACAGACAGAGAGGTAAGCCACGAGACGTTTGTCTCTGTAGGAAATTAGGAGGTCCCTTCCAGTGGGAATCAGATATCTCTTCAAACTGAATGTAACCTATCTGCATGAAGAGATATCACTTCAGAGGGAGAGCGTGTGTTTCTCCAGATTCTTGAGAAACAGCCTGAATTCAGAGACACGTTTAAAGTGTAGCTCCACCCGGGGTGACGGAGGGGCTCCACTTTGTAACAGGAAGCGTGTTTGAACTCTCTGAACACAGGACGTGAATCTCTGCGGCGCTTCAATCGATGTTTGTGCGTTTGATAAAGAAGACTTCAAAGCGATCTGTTATTCTGATCAACACGCTGACATCATGAAACACTGCCCAGGTGTGAAAATGAAAGTAACCGGATTACAATGCTTCCTTTCAACGTGTGCGCCAGAGCGTCCCTGGTTTGACCTGAAGTGGAAACACGTTCGATATTCTCCATGAAATGCATGAATAAATAAATGAGAGAAGGAGTTAAAAGTTAAAATGTGGGTGCGTATCGACTCGAGTGCAACGAATGAGGAAGGAGGCGGAGTTTGGGATCACAGAGGGACGAGGAACAGAGGCTTTTACTAACGATGCAGGAAATGTGCACAAATAGCGAGAAGTTGCATAAACCATTTGGGGTGCATCTATACACGGCTCTTCTCTTTCCACATTTAGCTGAATTTAATTTCCTTTTGACGAGCAACGTGACGAGTTCACCTCGTTTCAGATGCCATCGTGCCACAGTCAAACTAAAAAAGGGGGAGTGGAGGGAGGCTGAGGGGGAGACAGAGGAAGTGTTTGAGGTACAGGTGGAGGTGTGTCTCCTTTAGATGGGCAGCTGGAAGGTGATGTCCACCTGAGCTTCTTTAGCCAGAGAGACGATCTCAGAAAGCTTCACAACCTGCAGCAACACAGAGAGGGAGAGAGAGAGAGAGGGAGAGAGAGAGAGAGAGAGAGAGAGAGAGAGAGAGAGCGAGAGAGAGAGAGAGAGAGAGAGAGAGAGACGGTGAGTTTATATTTAGGGTAACTTTGTTTCTGATCAGTAAATACAGGTATCTGAAACGTCACATCAAAGAGGAACAGTGTGCAGACCAGGTAGGTGTGTGTGTGTGTGTGTGTGTGTGTGTGTGTGTGTGTGTGTGTGTGTGTGTGTGTGTGTGTGTGTGTGTGTGTACCATCTTGGCGGCCTCGTCCAGGTCGTCACAGGCTAAGATCTTCAGAGGACTCGCAGCGATCAGAGCTTTAGCGTCGTCCACTCTGGTTCCTTCAGAATAAAAACATCCACATGTCAGACAGTCACACTCCTCTGTTATTACTATAGGATGTTATTACTGTGGGATGCTGCAGGTGTGTGTTTAGTGTGAGATGTTGTGAGAAGGAGAAGCAGCTCGCTGACGCTGTGTTCGTTTCCAAAATAGGAACGAGTCGCTGCGAGGAGACACACACCTGTCAGCTGAGATCAGGGCACACACTACACACTGAGTTTCTTACACACACATTACAAACACCTTACACACTTCACACACACACAAACCTCTCACACACACACCTTAAGGTCCACACCAAACTGACACCAAAGAACGAACGTCGCCTCACGTCTCTGCGTGTTGGCCATGTGTCGCACTGGAACACACCGCAAAGACTTCAGCCGACGGCCAAGAAGCACGTACGAACTGCGCATGCGTGAGTGGCAATAACTCTCCTTACCAGCAGGCGGCGGTAGTGTGTGTTCGTCATTCAAAAGAGGCAACAACCGGAAGACAGACTGCGTGATAACGGAGAGAAGAAGAACAGACTGCGTGATATAAACAAACAACAGATAGCGTGTTCCATGTTCACTCTACAGCGAGAAGCTCACGGGGCTTTCCCCAACCTGTGTCGAGAGCTGGAGTTCAATGAAATCTCTCTCTGCCTTCTTAATAGTTTGTTTGGGTCCCTCACTTCCGTTTCGCTTCTCATGCACTGATTCGCTAGCTGAACAGCCAATCAGAGTGATTTCTTTGGCAGACGGCCTCCCGATTCAACGTGTTCAATCGGCAGCGGAAGGACACGACGGGGCGGGGACACACCAAGACACACATCTCAGTAGGGCGACAGGACGCTCATCGACGACCCGACATCTATCGATGCCGACATCGGCTTGGTGTGTAAGGGACTTTACACACACACACACCTCACACACACCTCACACACACATCTCACACTCACACACACATCTCACACACGTCTCACACACACCTTACACACATCTCACACACATCTCACACTCACCCACACGTCTCACACACACCTTACACACATCTCACACACACCTTACACACATCTCACACTCACACACACATCTCACACACACCTCACACACATCTCACACTCACACACACATCTCACACACACCTTACACCGCTGCATGGTTAAATATATATTTCTCCCTTTAAAAATCCTCTGAAGGCTGATGACATGAATCCTTTATCCTTGTGTGTACCTTGTAACCGCACTACGATGGGGATCTTGAGCTCCAGGTCTCTCACAGCGATGATGATGCCCTGAGCGATGACATCACACCTCATGATTCCTCCGAAGATGTTCACGAGGATCGCCTGGACCTGAGACACAAGTTAGCATTAGCATTAGCATTAGCATCATCACTGTTTGGAGCCAACTGCCATCTTTTGACATAACTACGTAATGTGTTTAATCCCTTTAGTTACTTTATTGATCTGGATGAATGATGTGAAATCTAATCAAGTGTTAAATCAGACTTTAGTTCCACCTGGAGTAAATCCACCAGCTACCCTGCAGTATACAAAGTCATTCAAACTAGCTGCACCTTTACCAGCTTTGAGAACACTTTCATGATCAATCATTATAAAACATATCATATATTATTCTGAAATGGACCAATCTGCACAATGAGCACTTTTACTGTCTCTACTTTCACTATATTTTGATGATAATACTTTTCTACTTTTACTTGAGGAACATTTTGAATGCAGGACTTTTACTGTAACAGAGTATTCCTACACTCTGGTACTTCTACTTTTACTCAAGTACAACATCTGAGTACTTCTACTTTTACTCAATACAAGATCTGAGTACTTCTACTTTTACTCAAGTACAAGATCTGAGTACTTCTACTTTTACTCAATACAAGATCTGAGTACTTCTACTTTTACTCAAGTACAAGATCTGAGTACTTCTACTTTTACTCAAGTACAAGATCTGAGTACTTTTACTTTTACTCAAGTACAAAATCTGAGTACTTCTACTTTTACTCAAGTACAATCTGAGTACTTCTACTTTTACTCAAGAACAAGATCTGAGTACTTCTACTTTTACTCAAGAACAAGATCTGAGTACTTCTA